AAGAAACAAAAATGTTGACTGTGACTTTGATTGGACAAAAAGACACATCAATCACCTGATGTATTTATATTGTAGAGGAATTACCTGAAGTACATACTGAAGCTCATATTTTCGTGCTTTAGCGCAAGTCCCATAGTATCTACATAGAAGCACAAGCAAATGATTACTATTTGGCTTTCTTACATACATGATAAATTAATCATATAAAACAAGACCAGCCAGCCTCACTCTCTTATCTTGTCAGTGAGACCCACAGATGATAATTCTTTAATCCAATGGGAAAGCAGTGTTTTAGGGGCCACAAGCATAACTCTTTTAGTCAACCGTGAATGAAATAATCCTGCTAAGAAGCTGCAAATCTGCAATAAGATAGAACCAGTACCTATAAATTATACAAAAGAAGAAAAAGGGCACCAAAATAACATATCTGTTAAAGTATCCTCTTTCTGTACCTGCATTGTTTTTCCCAAGCCCATGTCATCACCTAAGATTCCACCCTTTCCCTGACAATGCAAAGACCATAGCCACTTTAAGCCATCACGCTGATGGGGAAACAACATTGTCGCAATCTTCCCAGGCAACTTGTAAGTAGATGTGAGACCATTCAGAGTAATAGAACTATCAGTCGCCAGAGCACAATCATCAGTAGAATCATCGATCACAATACGCTCGTCAGATTCATAGCGCTCTTTAACATTACCACTCTGCCTCCCTGATTCTTTAACTATCTTATTGTCACTCAAAAAAACACACCCATCCTCATCACCAACCTCTCTTTTTCCCACTTTAGGAACAAGGGGACGGGCCACAGTTTTTGGTTTTTGATCCACCCATAAAGTTTCTCTTTTCTTTTGACCATCATGTTTCGTAGGCAGGCTGCCTCCTTGAGGTTCACTCGGCAAATAAGCATCTGCCTCCTTGCCTTTGGTTTTAGACACATTAGAACCTTCAACCATGTCCACTTTTCTGGCACCCCTCCTCTCAATTGACAGAAACTCAAGCCTCGAGCTCAAGTCATCAAGAATATCCCTAATCTCACTCCCACCAGCACTGGCACTAGTCCTACTCGGATTTCTTTTCGGCACTGCCGGTGATTCATAACCAGCAATGCCAAAAACGTTGGGCTCATCAAGCACTGGTTGTTTGTCAGCATGATCACTGTCGGCCCCATAAGAAACTTTACAGAGACGGCGTCTACCTTCAATCTTAACCTTTGAAGGTTTTTCTTCTTCTAAAATTGATTCCGTAAACGAACACAAAAACGCAATGTAAGAAAAAAAATAAAACAATTCGGGGTTTTGCAGTCACACAAGCATTTAATCAAACAGATAGTGGGCAAGAGAAGAGCGCTTACCAGGAGAAGAATCAAAATCAGCGAGTGAGAAATGAGGAAGGTTGTGAACCCATTGGCCTTCGATCGGTGGCTTCACCTCCTCCATTTCCACTTTATCGCCCTCTGCTGATTACCCAACAATAAAATAACAAAATAAAATTAACAAAAAATAAATATAATAAAGAAAAATTAAGGAGCGAAGAGGGTAAAGTGCTTAATAGGGTTAATAATACCGGCGGGTGTGGAAGAAGGATGGGCAGCAGCAGCAGCAGCAGCAGCAGGAGAGAGGAGGTCTTGAAGGAGGCGATAGTGGCTGTCGTTTAGACTCTCTGGTTTTTTGCCGCCTTTCCTCTCCGCCATTTCGAAAGTAAATAGGACAACTTTTTAAATTTTACTTTTCGTTTTTAAAGGCGGTCTTTCCATACATGGAGCTTTTCATTCCTGCCTTTGAGTGCCGCTTTGCACAATTTTTAATGTGGGATTCATCCATATTTTGTTTTTTACAAACATATCGTTAGTTTTTAACCCAAAAAAATAAAAATAAAAAAAAAAAAACCATATCGTTAGTTTTGCATTTACATGGTAAAACCTTAATAATTTAATGTTTAATAAATTAATAACCTTCATTAAATAACGTACTTAATTAATAATTTGCTAATTATAATATAATTCATTATACATTGAAACAATATCGTATAATTTTACTGTACATTTTATTTTAAAAAATATAATATAAATTTTACTTAATTAAATAAATACATCAATGAGTTCATAAAACAAAAATCTGAATACAATAACAAGCTACATTTACCAAAGTTTATGAAAAGACCCAATTTGTTGTTTGGTAAAAAAAAATCCTTTTATACGCTGTTGATCGAATAGAATCCAGATCCGCTTTGTGAGAGTTCCGGAGATTCGTGAGTCATATCTATTTATCGTATATCGTACGGTCAGAAATTATTTTAAATATGTTTATTTAAAATTAATTACAAAAAATACTTGACAAAAACTGACCGTACGATATACAATGAACATACGCGATTTACAAATCCCTATAATCCTCACCAAAAGAATCCGAAAAGGATCCTAGTGGGGTCGAATGAACATATATATTTAGGGAAAATTATCCTTGCCGGATCCTTTTCCTATAGATTCTAGGGATCCCATGATCGTGATTGTTCATCATATATCGTAAGGTCAGCTTTCATTAGGTACTATTTATATTTAATTTTAAATTTTGAAATGATTTCTGACCATACAATATACGATAAACGGTCACAATCATGAGATTCCTAGGATCCCTAGGAATAGAATCCAGCAATTTAGGAGAAATTTTCAAAAAGATTGGTTAAAAATTTGATTTTGAATTCCAATGCAAAAATGTTTCAAAATGAATATCAATCGAAAGAAATTTCAAGCCGGTTTCAGAGTTTTTTTTTTTTTTAAACGCTAAATTTTATTATATGAGATGTTAAATTAATATCAATGAGATTTAAACTTATGCAGTCATATGTAAATAGTTATTTGCTGAGCTGGTTTTAGAGTTAAGATGGCAGATTCTCTTGGGTCTTTTTAGCTTCTTCTTCTTCTTCTTTTTTTTTTTTTTTTTGAAAAATGGATGATAAATAAGATGGTAAGCATATACCATAGTTTATGATGATGAGCAAAAATGCTCCCATATGGGTTTAATCGTCTTGGAGAGATTTTTCGATATTCTCAAAATATAAGGTAGAATTGCGTCATTATATAAGGGGAGTTTTAACGAAACACTCCCGATACTGTTCATTTTAACGAAAAATGATATTTTTACTCTAAAAGTCACTTATAATACTATTCACTTACAATATTTTTTTGTCATTTTAATTAAAATTCAAAGTTTTCAAATTATTTTCATTAGTTTTCCTTTATATAAGTGGTGAGACTCTTCTAAAAGAGAGGAATAGAGAATGAAGTGGGTTCCACTTGTCACCTATAATTAATACCATTATATTTGCCAACTATTGCATGGCTGCAATTGCCTTAATTAATTTTGAATTCGGTTGCCATTTATTTGAATTTGCTTCTGCTAATTGAATTATTTTGAGGTGCTCCTGCTGATTAAATTGTGAGAGCTTTTTTAATGCAAGATAAAAACCAAGCCCACAATTCTTTTATTTATGACAAAATAATGCCCAGTAATGATTTAAAATGATTACGTCTAGCTACGTTTGAAACATTGGTTATAAAATTATCTCTCTTGGAGAGAAGCAAAATGTGAAATGTAAAAATCATATTGAAAATTGAATTACAATCGAAACACACATAACATCTCATTTGCATATTTGAGAGATGTGAATACTGAATGCGGATTATAATCAAATGGACGAGCATACATTTGAGATCTTATGTAACAGAAAAAAGAAAAAAAAGAAAAAAAAAAGATATTTAAGTAATAAAAGTTTCAACTAGAGAAAAAGAAATAAGATGAAGCCTCCTTTTCAATTATTTATTCATGCAAACACTTATTCATACAACTTTTTTTTCCCAATCACTTCTGCCAAATGTACATAAGATCCCATCGATCCTTAGACTCGTCGAAAGAAAACGCTCCGGTTTGTTTGATTCTCCACCAACACTTGTCTCCGCATCGCTCATCATCTCGTTGAGCTTTGTACACATCAAAGCTTCCATAGACATCTTGCCACCACATGTAGCAATAGAACAGTGTGTTTGGGAAGAGAGCATTGGACTTGAATTCCCAATGGAAGGAGTTCTCAAACGAGAGGTCGTGTTTGCCAAGATCATCGTCGTTGGATTTGCAATGAAGAGTCAGGACAATATTTGGTCCCAGATAATTAGTTATGTTCACGACTCGTTTTGGACGTCAAAACCCAAAGTATCAAAAGTTAAACTGCATTCTGATAACAACAAGAGCAATGATAAGATCACAAGCAATGCTACTGATGCTTTGGCCATTGCTTTTGGACGTGTGTACGTCCTAATGATTCACCCTTTATATATTTTATCAAGGAAACGCTAATTACCAAAAAGAATAACTTAAACAGAAATGAATTTGTCTAGAAAATCAAATGTATACATCATCGATTTTTCTCTAATTAACTGATAAATCCTAATTAATTGCAAAGATTAATTTCTTTCTCGTCCTGGTCCATTATCCAATTTCAAATGACTGGATAGAATAACAACAATAATTATTATTTATTACGCAATTAAGGACAACTTTACCAGGCTTAATATTTTCCACCAATTCAGGGTAATGTGCTATATGAAGCACAGAGGCCTCATAACCAAACATATTGAGCGGCATTGCCAAATGTGCCTCATGCTCCTCGTGGCCCAAAGTTTTCTTGGCCCACGCCCCCATATGGTCCTCATGGCCCAAACTCTGTTCCAGTTCTAGCCAATCACACTGGCGCAAACTTTGTTCAAGTTCCAGCCAATCACACGGCGGTCACGATTCTACGGTTGTGGTGTTTAATCTAGGGCTTACGCTACCGGATCAAATATGCTAACTACATATCCTTAAACTTTGCTATTCACTTTCATGAGTGCGTTTTTTTATTTTTTAAAGTATATAGATAATATTAGGAAGAGCGGGAGTTTGATTAAACCACACAATGAGCAACTCAATTTGATATCAAATTTGCCTTTGAACTTAAAACCTCACACTTTCAAGTTAAAAAGAATATCATCAGATCATAGTATATAAACACATTAGAACCTTCAACCATGTCCGCTTTTCTGGCACCCCTCCTCTCAATTGACAGAATCTCAAGCCTCGAGCTCAAGTCATCAAGAATATCCCTAATCTCATTCCCGCCAGCATTGGCACTAGTCCTACTTGGATTTCTTTTCGGCACTGTCGGTGATTCATAACCAGCAATGCCAAAAACGTTGGGCTCATCAAGCACTGGTTGTTTGTCAGCATGATCACTGTCGGCTCCATAAGAAACTTTACAGAGACGGCGTCTACCTTCAATCTTAACCTTTAAAGGTTTTTCCTCTTCTAAAATTGATTCCATAAATTTACGCAAAAACGCAATGTAAGTAAACAAATCAAACAATTCGGGGTTTTGCAGTCACACAAGCATTTAATCAAACAGAAGAGCCCTTACCAGGAGAAGAATCAACATCAGCGAGTGAGAAATGAGGAAGGTTGTGAACCATTGGCCTTCGATCGGTGGCTTCACCTCCTCCATTTCCACTTTATCTTCCTCTGCTGATTTACCCTCTAACGAAAAATAAATAAAGAAAAATTAAAGAGGGAAGAGAGTGAAGTGTTTATTAGGGTTAATAGTACCGGCGGGTGAGGAAGAAGGATTGGGTGGAGGAGGAGGAAGGAGGTCTTGAAGGAGGCGATAGTGGCTGTCGTTTAGACTCTGGCTTTTTGCTGCTTTTCCACTCCGCCATTTCCAAAGTAAATACGACAACTTTTTAATTTTATTTTTCGTTTTTAATGTTTGCGGTGTTTCCATGCCAGCCCAGGAGCTTGTCATTCCCGCTTTCGAGTGCTAACTTTCAAACTTTCAATTTTTTCTTTCTTTTAATATTCGATAAATTAGTAACTTTAGTTAAATAATACTAGCATATGGACACATACAAAGTATGTGTTTTATTTTTATTTTTGAACTAGAAGGAGACAGGAAAAGAGTGATAGAGAATGTGGTAATAGGAATTTTTTATTTTTTAATTTTTTTAATTAGAGATATGTTAGGATTACACGTAGATGAGGTTTTGAAAAAACAGCAAAATTTGGTGTATGAAATTACATTTCTGCACCATATTTCTTATTCATGTTCTGTTTTAATTAGATGGTTAAACTGGTAATTTCATAGAATTTTAATTGACAATTAGTCGATCACGATTTGAGGATAACGTTCCAAATTAGTAAGAGTGTTATTGAACGCACTGTATTGTCTTAATTTTTCACCTATATTATAATTTCACTCAAACCAATTATCATATAGAAATCCAAAGAAATTTTTTAATTTGATCTTTGATCTTATGTGTATTAGATGAAAATATTGATATGATATAGTTTATGATTTTTTTTTATTAATTTCATTAAGTGTTGGATAAATCATATATATATATATATATATATATGTCTCCATTAGTTTATATAATTTTATATTTTGAATAACGCAATTTTGCGTCATAGTTAAAATTCTAAATTCACATCAACGTCATACAATTAAATAAGTAAGATATATTTGTCTACCATATTAGCACACTAACATAAAATTTAACGAAAAGACAACAAAAAGGCCCAATTGATATGAAAATGATGAAAATTTTATTTCAAAACACCACTTTGATTGGAAGGCCATAATTTGAGGCCATAATATTCCGTGTAAGGGAAAATAAAGGGCACACTAATTGGCGGGAAATAGACGCTTCACACATTGCTCGCGAAACCCTTGGTGAACCCCGAAGGCAAAATCAAAGGAGACGAACAAGGGCACAGAAAAAAGGGCCAGCGCGGCCACACCCGGCGGCGAATCCAGACAAGCAGCAGGCCACATCCCCAGAAGAAGAATTCGTCGACGAGGAAGTCTTCGGTCTTCCTTGACGAAACCCTATTCGAGAACGAGGACGACCTCTTTCTCCGCGACATAGCGCAACGCCAGTCCCTTACGTCCCGGCTCTCTCCCATGCCTACACTTCCGCCTCCCGAAGCATCGGTGACATAGAGCAGCGCCAGTCCCTCGCATCCCGCCTCTCTCCCATGCCTACACTTCCGCCTCCCGAAGCATCGGTCTGTCAGCCTTTTCCAATTTTGCTCGATTCTCTATTTTTATTTTGGGTGTATTTATTTAAAATTGTTAAAATCTCTTTCTTTCCTGGTTGTGGGTTGTAGCTCTTCAGTAATTGGAGATTGATTATGTAATTGGAGAGAGCCATAGATGTTCCGGGTCCGCTTCCATTATCCAAATTATTGGGGTTACAAAGGAAGGTTAGCTTGTGCTCCTATTTCTTTTATGTTTATTATTCTGCTGTGAAAATGTTTGGTTGGTGACTGAGAAACCTGAATATAACTGTAATTTTGTAACACTAAAGCATCGGTGTTGTTGTTTCGTCAAGCATGTTGGTTATTTGTCTCAGAAATGCAACTTCTACCGAGTATTCTATGTTGCTGCACGGGAATAAATTATGCTACCAAACTAAACAAAGATAATGTCTTTCTTTGGTAATTCAATAGGGGAGGATGGGGGAGGTCAACAGGAACAGCAAGGTACAAAAATTCATTCGCCATAGTGAAATGGTGCAGAAGAGGAGTGTATTACCAGCAGCAAGATTCTGAACCTTCTCTCAAAATTGTTGTTGCTTTGCCAACAATGGTGGCCAGCTGCCGGGGTAAAATTTCAGTTTCATTAACATTCGATAACATGCAGGATCTGAATTACTTTCTTGAATGAAACACCTACATTGCATTTTATGGTTGATTATCACATAACTTCTTAGACGGCAAATGTTCTCCCCCTTCTTTCATGTCTTTCTTTGTGTACCATTGTACTGATCTAATTTACTCGTTGGAAGGACTATATTTGGAGAGCAGTCCTCATATTGTGTCTTGCACCTTGCATATCAATATGTACTGCAATGTTTCCAGCTGTGGCTTATGCCTAAAACTGTTTTATTACTCTTCTATGCTTCCCCAATCTGCCAGGCATTCTTGAAAAAGGCATACAAATCGATGGCCTTGGTATGAAGAAATTCATGACATATGATATGACAACAATGTTCCTTATGCTCTTCTTTCCATGATTGATTGCGTCATAGTTGGTGGAAATTGGATTGAGGTCCCTGCGGGACCCTGCTGGACAATATAAGACAACTAAGCCTTTGTCGTACTGCCACTAAGAGTTGCATTGCCTATATCCTTACGCATTCAAGGCACTATTTGGAGTTTGGCGAAGTATGTAATGAATGCCATTTACATTTTGAGCTATTTCCTACTTGATTTATCTGTCCTTGACTAACCATTTTCTTAGATATTCAGACTTTATCAGCCATACTCCAGAAGGGAAATTTTTTGAAGATGGCTCCATTTCGCATATTGAGCTTTGATATTGAGTGTGCTGGCTGTAAAGGTCATTTTCATGAGCCTATCCTGTTCTTTTCATTCCGAGTGTCTTAAATAAAATATTTAAGTGATGTGCACAAACTAGGATGACAAAAATGACAAGACAGTAGGTACCACATGGATGACAAATATGCACAAACTGGAATTTGTTGTTATGGTTCTTTATGTCTTAAATAAATAACATGGATGACAAAAATGACAAGACAGTAGAATTTTGAAACATGTCATATCATCTTCCAGCGTGGTCGGTTAGCATACTGCCAGACTGCAAGAATGTAGTGTTTAATACAGCAACGGTAACTATTAAGTTTCTGATGCCTGCATTCTATTAATGTCAGTTTTAAATGTTTGAATGTTTAGCTTATCTTGTATACAAAATGCACGTACCACGTATATCTCTATATATATATATATAGAGAGAGAGAGAGAGAGAGAGAGAGAGATAGAGAGAGAGACTATTTAGATCTTACAACATGCAGGATGCTGTTCAAACTACAAGTCAGATGATGCAGGCCACCTTAATTATTACATTTAGATCTTAGTGTTTATGCTGTCCTGTATGACGAACTTGGCATCCTAGTAAAATGATCCGAACTGTCTAATTTTTAAATCTCAATTCACGATTCATCCTTGTCAAGAAATCAGCCAACTATGGAGATACTGAATCATTTTATGACCATCATGATGACCCTTAAACAGAGGTTTAAAAAACAGACAGTTCGGATCATTCAACTATAATGCAGAGGTATTTCTGTGTTTTCCCTAAAATGGGGACCCCTCTTGAGATGCTCGCTTTATATGTATACATGTGTGTGCTCCCATTCATGAGGAAACAGTGAAACAATGAAACGGTGTGTGTGTGTCCACATGTGAGCGCATACAAAGAGAATATATAGAAAGGAAACAATAGAACAATGAAATAATATGCATATGGAAATGATATGAAAATGATATATTGTCGTTCTTGGGAGAGGCCCTGAACATTGCAAATTGTTCTCTAACTGGTCTGGTTTACATGATTGACTAGTAAGCTGGCAAAACTCTCTTGTACTAAGATCTACAATCTACATTACCTTATCAAGAAATATTCCATTGATTTATGAGTCCCCAACAAGTGATATGGGAATAATTGCTGATGAATTGGCGATGACATTGTACTAAGATCAACGATTGAAATATGCCCTTGATTTCTGTGCTCTTTGCAAGTGATTCACAAATAAATACTGATGCCATATGCCCCTGCTTGTCCTGAATTTTTTTTGTATCACTTTAGCTTTGAATTAGGGTTTACGTTCAACATTGATTTTCCAACAGGTTGGATCCCAAAGCTCTGCTGTTGAATGGTTACCTGAGAGTTTGTAGCAATCAGTGGGATCAGCAGATAAAAGCTTGAAGTTCTGAAATGGGATGTGTTTTTGGAGAAAGCTGGGATTTGAGGGTGAAGCTGACTTCGTAAAAAAGTGGCTTGGTAGATCACGTTAACACTACAAAATTTACCAGTGAATACCTTTTGTATACAACAAGGTTTGTCTCTGCTCGTTCCAAAAAAAAAAAATAACGGCATAGGATTCTTTATGTGACTCATAGGATTCTTTAATGCAGCTTATTGGTCGGTGAAAATGAAGAGTTCTTAAAGAAAGGAAGCTCAACAGTTCTTTTAATGGAATCAAAGGGTCATTCTCTGCATTCTTTTGTGAATCAAGAACTCCAAGGTTATTTTTCTTGTCTAAACTATTTATGGTCAGTATTCAAAATGCAAACTTCTATGGATTTACTTCTTTTTCTGTTTAAGTCATACCTGATCTGCAGGACTAGGTATTTTGAGGATACACTTATGTTTGTAAAGATAATTTGTGGTTGAATTGATACAGAAGTTTGTGACTTTTTCTTATTTCATGAAAATGTCTCATAAATTGAGACAGAAGTCGATGTTGAGAATATAATAATCTTACATAGGGTATTCTTGGCGTTTCATGTCAGTAAATAAGCTCTTGGTTCTCCACCTTTGGCAGTTGGCTCTGGGTTAGATGCCTATGGGTACTACTTTGGCGACAGCAGATGGGCTTGTGAAGCAAGGTGATGGAAGGGATATACCTTTTGTTTTGTTGAGAGCAGTATTTGCTGGAAGTCAAAGGTATGGAGCAGTATGGACAGGAGATAATTTAGCTGATTCGGATCACCTTAGGGTTCAGTTCCAATAGTTTTGACGCTTGGTCTTACTGGGATCTCATTGTCAGGTATCAAAAGCAATATATTCTTATTAACGCAAAGTGTCTTTTTCAACTGGTGCTCATGGCTGTAATGTTGTTACAGGTGCTGATGGTGGGTTCTTTGACAATCCAGAATGTGAGTTGTTAGTTCGTTATCGGAGCATGCTATCCATTTAGGCGAGCACCATGGTAATTTGGGTAGGAGTTGCTCCCTATGATGGTTTTGCACACATTTGTTTTGCACACATTTTAAACCTCTGGATGGTTCACCATCTGGAGATTGAAGATGCACTTGGACATTTGCGTATCCATTTCGTATAGGACCTAGAATCAATGTTTTGTATTGCCTAAGCATTTTGATGATGCGGTGGATAGATATATTTATTGGAATTTAAAATTTACTACCTATGCCAAATTGTTTACACGTTTAACGTTTTAACTGAAATATGATTGTAGATTGAAATACTTACACTTTAGACCAACACTTACATACCATTTAACTGTGAAGTTGGAACACTATTCTAGTTTCTTTTTCTAGTACCTTTTTGAAGTGAATTATTCTTTGTAGCATGAAAAGTGTATGTTGTAGTAGAGTGGATGGTTGTGAATTTTTTGTTGAAGTGTTAAGGTGATAGCACTTAATAGTTCACAAGCAGCCGAAGGTGAACTCTGTGTTGACGATGGTGGAAGGTTTGAATTTCAGGAAGGGGCATGCATCCATGATCGTTTTGTATTCTCAGATTGGAAGCTCACATCTCTTAATATGGCACCCGCTGCGCCTGGCCAAACCCAGTTTTCTTCTGAATGTGTTGTTGAGAGGATTATTTTGTTATATGTGTGTGTGTGTGTGTGTGTGTGTGTATTACATCGTGAATAACAAAATTCAATGGAAGTGAATCTTTCTCCGTACAGTCTTCTTTGAAGAGATGTGTTCAAATTATCTGAGTGTATAAACAAACGCCTATATTCCATTTGTGAAATTACACACCACCAATACTTTGTATCTATATATTTATATATTTACAGCATCTAAACTTTTATTTGAAGTCAAACTGCTACGCGTCGAGTGCTGGCTGCCTCCTGCCCCAGTGGAAAACGAGAAGGCCTATCACTATAACACCACCTCCAGCAATGCTGAAACATAAAACGAACTTTTAAGTTTTCACGATATGTTATGATTAAACAAAATTTTGTATAAAAAGATGTTTTTTTTTTTTACCTCCCACTGTCAAGTTCCTCCTTTAGTATTGTAAACCCTAATACCATTACAACAACGGTGGCTAGGGGACTAAAGGAGGTCAAAAAGACCGCGTCTCTCATCCGGATCACCCGGCTCTGTAGCCATGCCGTGAATGCAGAAATCACCACACCCTACACGAACAAGCCAAGAATTAGAATTATGTACATATTACACAGACAAAAGATCATTTCAAAATTCAAATTACAAAAAAGCTCACCGAGTATAGGTAGCATGCAAGCTTCACGTTCAAACCCAGCATCCATGCATACGTAGTCCTCCCAGTAAGCGCGACAGCCACTATAGTGTCCATCAGCGCTCCAATGGCGACAACGTAGCATTAAGCCAAACTAATGGGAAGTCAGCGTACTTCGTAGTAGTCTCTTGCTGAAATAACACAAAAACAAACGCAAATTGTAAGATAAAGATAAATGTCATTTTGAATGCAAATGTGTTTGTGTTTTCATTCGACTGCGCACAATGTGTTTGTGTGTTTTAAGTCAACCCAAAAACAAACAAAACGTAAGCACGCTTACCATCAACAAGTTGTAGCATACTGAAAGAATCACCTGAAATCCCGACTAACAGTGGACCTCTAACCCAATTATTAGATAGCTTGTAAGGGTGGCCACTGCTAGTGGAGGCGTACGCAATGGTAATGGTGGGGCCATCAATAAGACTCACAGCTACGGCTCCACCGATCACCATCAACACCCCCAGCAATTTTGCTTGACTAGGTCTCTCATGGATGTGGACCGTCTCCGACCTGTAACACAAAAAATGACAATCAAATTTAAATACTTTAATTTATTAACAAAAATTAAATGAGTTGTAAATGACAATTAGCCGATAGTTTAGGATATACCCGCGATACCACGAGACGATGAATGTCAAGGCCGGGCCAACTGCGATAATACAACTAGAGAAACTGGCCGGCGTGAACCGTAGTCCAGCAAACACAGCAAGTTGCCCCAAAAATGGCCTGTTAAATGAAAAATAATTAATCCTTGAAATATAAATTATTTGTTTTTCAATTTTTATTTAAGATAGGGTACTTACTCAAAAACAGCCAAGCAAATGATCCAAGCTAAAAGACAACCCTTGGGAACTGGAGGTCTTTGTCTGCTGTAGAGCGCCGCTATAAGTAGAGCACACAAAGCTACTATGTTTTTATAACATAAAAACACAGTGAACTTCATATTAGCTCTGAACGCGCTCTTGATCATGATAGAGTTGCACCCGATAAGCACTTGGATTGTAAACCCAAGAACATACGGGATAGCTCCCTTCACTCTTCCCACCGATGAACTATACCAAAAAAAAAAAAAAAAATTAGAATAATATTTAAATTTTAGAAGGAGTTATAATCACGTGGCAGAGAAACGAATCCAAGTTGATGAATTCTTGAACATTCTAGTTTAGAAGTAATATGTTGGAATTTTGAGAAGAAAATATTTTCTGACCTATACTTTTAAAAGTGCTGGTCTTTGTCTTCTGAACTCTCTTCCGCTCAAAAATGGAGGGTTCAGCAAGCCCTTTTCCAGAACACTTTGCACTCTTGGTGCTCATGTCACAAGCTTTTATTTTAGCTTGAACATATCTTGTTCTTCAGAGTCGGCTAGGGAGAAACAAAAACGTTTTTCTCCACTTTGATGCCTTTTTTCATGTTGCTTTCTTGCTGCCATCTTTTGGTTGAAGAATGAAAAGACACAACATGGTTTTCTTGACTGCAGATGTTGAGGGCAGTGAGCAATGACTTTCTGCTCTATTTTCACCAGCACCTTGCAAAGTTTCTCTCTAACAAACGCCGTTCTTCTAGAGGGAAACAAACACCTTCCTTGACTGCAGCCTTCCATCTTTTCTGCTCCTTTTTTTCTCGTTCTTCTTGTTGGATTCGGCAGAGGTTGAACACTTTGTGCTCCAAACTTGTTCCTCTCCAATCTTTTTCTTCTTCTCTTCTCTTTGAACCGAAGTTTTGATACCATATTGGAATTTTGAAGTGGAAAAGACGAAGAAAATATTTTGACAACTTTGGTAAAGGGGCTCTTCGGCTCTCCCTCAATCTTGTGTTGTATTTTCACATTAGAGAGACATTGTTCTCTCTCATTGCTCTCTCTCTCTCTCTGGGTTCACACGGTTAGCTTTTCGTTTATAGGAAAAGTCTACCCAGTTACTTCTCTCATACGCCACACATTTACATGGTGGAGAATGGAGATTAGCTCACTTGAAGTACATATTATGCACACAAGCACTTGACACTAACTGCATAACTAAACAATGCACAAGTTTGAAGATATTTCTTCCAACTCTTTTCACACTTCCACTAGCTTTGGATCCTATGGTCTCTTGTACACCAAGCATGTATTGGTGTAGTAATATTGATATCAAAACAAATTACCGTTAATATTTCAACATATAATATATATATACACGTTATGTAATGAATCAAGAAGTGAACAACTATTGGCATTCATACATAAGAATAATTGAAATATAACCATCGGCATTCCATTTATACGACGTCAATCTTTATTCTTACTTTCCTAAGATGGTTTCTACTTACTGCAGGTTTGCTTAAATAAGAACCAATGCGATATAGAATTAACATAAGAAAAATTAAATAAAGCTTGTGTGTGGGTGAAACAAAAAACACATGGACACATTAAAGTAAAAAAATGGATGGATGTGAGCGGAGGGACAAACTTACGTAAGGTGCGGGAACATCCAAAGCGGCAACTGCTGTAGAGTCAGCATCTCAAGCTGCAATTAACAAATAAATATTGAGTTTATACTTTATAACAAGATATCTTAAAAGTCTTACACATAACAAACAATGAAACAAGCAACAGAAATCGGTGGGGCATTACAGCTTTGGTGAAAAAGGGCATTAACCTCACCCCTCCCCTTTTGCCCTCCTTTTCAAAACAAACAAATACAATTGACAACAACTAGTTTACTTAATAAGGTTTGAGCTTAGTCATCCCCATTATTTCAGTGTTGGCACGACAAGTTCAGTTGGGGAGACAGGATCATTGATCGCAGAGAGTTGATCAGCCAAGCTTTTGACATGAGAGAGATATCGGGGATCGTCTTCGATCCTTTTTGAACGGAGAGAAGTTGGAATTTCAACTGTGCGGCATTAGCACCAAGTCGGTGAGGGTACCGCGAAGAATACTAACAACAAACTGATCAGTTTGAATTTTGAAACCATGTGAGGTAATCCGGATTAGGAACGGAAGCAGGAGGGAGGAAAATGGTTGGTGGGGTGGAACCGTGGAAGAGAGCAATCAATGATATATTTTTAACACTAGCACATGGCTGAAGATATGTTATGCCATGAATTCCATCTTGCTAACCTTAGGGTCATGGATAATTGCTTGAAGGTTACTAAGAATGTTGACCATGTGTTCAAACTCGCAGCTGATATGGGCAGAATGGGCTTCATTCAATCTAACCATTCCGTCATCTTTTATAACAATACCATGATTAGCTTCAACATGGTTGAAGCTTATCAGATCAATGATGTGAAGAGGCAACATGAAAAGAATATGTATAGTACCAGCGTAAAAATTATGAGTCTCTATTTTCCGGAAGTAGGCTTCCATACATGTCGACATACTTTGTATGTGGATATGTATAATGAACTCAGAGTCAAACACTAGCTAAATAGGAGCTTTGATACTGTATAAAACTTAGCCATTTCGAAGTACTGAAATACAAGCAAACAATAGGTTACTTTTAACTAGTTTACATGTAGCAAAGTTACAAAAGCCAATTTGCAGTAGTAATGAACAGCTTCTCTTCCAGATATAACTTCGTTCAACAAGGTTTACTGGGCACAACTTTCTTCCTTCTCTCTGCATTAGTTATCCTCCTACGGTATGTCCTACAAAGTTGTATAAGGGCAAGCCTATAGTTGCTCAAACAGCGATCAAAACCCTAACACAACCTGGGATATCACAATTCACTCTAAACAGTTACTAGAAACGGTGCCATGCCTTACAATAAGCACTAGATTCAAAGTTCAGGACAAGAACAGGACCTAAATAATCCGATAACCAAATGCATCATATATTCTTTGCAAACTGAAATCAATATCATTAATGTTTCACAAAATCTGAGGTGCACATCATACCAAAGATCACATTTTTTGGGATTAAAAAAGCACAAATCTTTCACAAAACCCAGTTGCACAAATCTTAACAAAACAACAAATCAAAGCTGATGACAAATATATATTGCAGAAATTACTGTACATATTTTGCGACAGAAGTGCCTGCTGGCTGGGTGCAGTCGGCGGCTACGGGAGAGGATGAGGATGAGGAGGAAGCTACGGGAAAAGAAAGGCAGCGGCAGAGAATGGATTAGGGTTTGTTTTATGATTTAGATGGTTAATTATTGAAAAAATGAGGGAAGAAGCGTAAACAGGGCAAGGGAAACTGAGTTGCTGGAATTGGCAAGCAGAGCATAAACAGGGCAAGGGAAGGAGCGGGAAAGTCCTACTTTTGTAAATATATTACTCCATAAAAAGTAAAAAAAAAAAAAAAAAAAAAAAAAAAAAAACTAGCGGGATTAATTTACTGCCATTAAATAATGACCGTTGATTTGTCATCTTATAAATGAATATTATTGATCACACATGGCTGTCATTGACTTTATGGCATCAAATTTCCAAAACCGTACTTCACATTTGTTTTTTTCTTTTCCAAATCCGTACATCACGTCAAGCAGAACGTTGCATATCCATGCTAGAAAATTTCTAATTTTCACTCTCACTGCATTATTATGATACGCTAAAAGCTATGTTGGTAATATTTTTACTTATTTTTTCTATTAGAATAATGCGTTTTAAAGCATCTCCAATTTACACTAAAAGTTTTATTTTGTATTTACTTTTCTATAAGAGCATTGTGTTGTGTGTTAAAACACCTCCAATTTAAACCCCAATTTTGAGTTGCAAAAGTTGTAAAACCCAGGACAAGGATCTTCTTCGGATCAACGTTGTGAGGATCCGATGATCAATTAATCATGTTCGTTTATCGTACATTATACGGTCAATTTTTGTTTGGTACTATTTATATTTAATTTTAAAATAGTTTACAACCGCACGATGTAATATATTTAGAATATTGTTTAGAATATTCTGAACTGATGATCAACGCCGAAAATTTGGAACTAGAATTCTATTTTATATTGTTGATGCCCTCTTTGTTTCGTCGGACCAAAATAAGAGAGAACAATAATGCTGTTGTAAATAAAAGTTTCATCTACTGTTTACTCATTTGTCATTCTTTTCGTTAAATTGTATTATTCTGAAGTAGTCATGGATAGGTCGATCCTACCAATAATTTCCCTCTAGAGTGTGTTATAAGGAGAGTATTCAGAAGCTCGCGAGGAGATGCACAGGAAGTTGGCTGCTAAGAGTAGGCATATGGTTACCATTGTGGATCCTCATATTAAGCGGGATGATTCCAACTTTTTGCACAAAAATGCCACAGAAAAGCGGTATTATGTTAGGATTCAATTTATGCGGCCTAGATAAATTGATCCTTAGGGTCCGGATTGGAAAGGATTATGACGGGTGGTGCTGACTTGGTTCACCATCTTATTTGGATATGATGAGGCCAGAGGTTAGGTCCAAAAGTTCACAATTGAGAATTATGTTGGTTCAACATATGACTAGGAAAATGTGGGAGATCAGAATGTCAAGACACGTTTATTAAGTTCAGTCACAATGAAAAAAAATTGTTGCAGTAGCATCATGAACAAATATATGATTACGCTAAGAAATCACTCACTTTTTGATTGTGTAAGGAATCAGTTTTCGTTGTCACGTCGACATTTTATGTCTTTCATATTCACTTGGACTCTCTCACTGCATTCTTGATCTCTAGTTCTTATATATTCTGTTTGTTGCAGCGTTAATATCTTTTGTGGAATTTCCTTGTGGTTAATATTTTCCAATCGAATGTACTATGTTCTCTTATAGACTAGCTAGTTTGATGATATATAATATTAGAATAGAAAAAAATTTAGTATTCAAATTATTCGAGCAAGTTTGATGAGATATAATGTTGCGACTTCTTTGGTTAGCCCCCTTTTTTTCGTTGATTTTAATATCTATCTGATTCTCGAGCGTTGTTTTATGTTTGTGTTTGGACCCAAAATTACATCATTGGCCCGTGAAATCAAAGCTGTTGAATGCGTATAGTTCCCAACCGTTGGACGAAAAAGTAAAGATATTTTTGTTATTATTAAAGAATAATATTATGGTTTTTATCATAATTATCTTTTAATAATAATTTATCTTGACATTTTCTTATGAAAGATGAAAATATATCTCCAAGCTGGAAATAGATGGTACAATTCAAATTGATATGGATGTTTGTCGTGGGGATGTGTGGTTTGGATCAGTTTTTGGTTGACAAATATGCATGCATACGATAAGGGTGGAGTAAAAATGGTGATGTGCTTGAAAGATAATTCTACACGTGGTGGTGATAGGATGGCAACAATTATCTTGTTGATTATGCTAAATGATTTAGCATATTGGTATAAGCTTTTGCATCGTTAGGCCAGCATGTGGTTGTTCAAGGAGCCTGATTCACTCAACATGATGTTTGGAATAATTTGCAATAAGAACTCTAAGTAGGCTTAGGCTTTTGAGAGTTTGAGTCTCGGTTGGTTTCTATGAAATCATCAAGGCCACGCCAAGCGGGATCGTGCATATTTGAGAGAATATTCCTATTATTTAGTAACTTACGATGGCAATCCTAGAGCTACTGGTTAATTATAAATACAGAGACAGTGGCAACATTCAAGACTCTCTCAAATTCAACACACAAACTGTCCTACGCAAACTCTTGTTCTATGCGAAATCTCTCAACAACGTTGAGATTTTTATTTTCTTTTTTCTCGCCAACACATCTTCAGTTTGGATAAATAACGCTGGAGTTGTAGAATCAGCAGATCAAGGAGCACACATTTAGTTTGAATAAACAGCACTACATCAAGACCGACTAATTATTTATCTAAGTCTCGGTCGACAAGGATTTTCAAGTTCTTGTTGGTAGAGGTCATCTCATTAGCATTC